CCAGCCTTCTGGTTAGCAGTCAAGTGCCTTAGGCACTATGCTACCAGAGCTCCTGCACTTCTCAAATGCTGACATTCTAAATGCTTTAGTTGTTTATTATCTACCTCTCCATAGAATGTAAGAGAATTTTGTCTATTTTGTTCATTGCTATGTCCTCATTGCTTATAGTGACTGGCACACAGTAAAAATACCACAACTATTTATTGAATAAATGAATTAAGTTTTAGCAAAATAGACAAAACAATGTACCAGACCAACCTACATCCTATGGGCATAAATTCTTTACTAGCCTTCACAGGAATTTAAGACCTAGTGGCACAGAGAGTCCATGTGGAAATGACTTCTGGCTTTGTGCCTGGCTTGGCATCTCTCTTCCTCCACCTCTGCTTCCTAACTCAAAACTCATTGCCATCGAGCCGTACCCAATTCATAGCACCCCTCCTTGGGTTTCTAAGGTGGTATCACTATGGAAGTAGATTGCCCAACCTTCCTTCTGAGGAGTGGCTGTTGGATTTGAACCATCAGCCTTCTGATTAGCAGTCAAGTGCCTTAGGCACTATGCTACCAGAGCTCCTAACCTGATAATAAGCTCTGTTCATTGAGGACTGCTCAGGCAACCACACTGGTGGCTGATAACCAAAAAGCAACCATGTTCACGTGACCTGACCGCACCCACACCTCCTGCAGCCCCACCTGCCAGATAATGGCCACACAGTCACATCCCTTAGGCAGTATGCCACCAGAGCTCCCTCACAGATAGAGAGACTAGGATTTACAAAACTTATTTCTGAAGGACACAATTCAATTTATACTAGTATACTTAAGGTTTAAAATAGAAAACCATGGCACCAAAACCAAACCGAAACAATGGAATGTTTATTTTGATTACTATTATGATGCTTCTAATGCATTCGGATTCTAAAATAAAGACACTAGTTTGAAACTAACTGAAAGTAACCTTAAACTCCTTAATGAAACTACTGCTTTACGAATAAGGAACTCTAATTCTTCTTCTGCCCCACTTTACCCAATTTTACCTCCTTATCCTGATTAGTGCTCTGATCTCAATGAAATGCCCTTTTGCCCACTTTGATTTTCCTTTAGATCCTACACTCTCTGGAGCTCCAGTGTCCCTTATGCCTTTTAAAATAAAACCCTGTGAAGGATGGGGGAAAAAAACACCCATTATTACTTTTACTCCTGGTCCAAAGCTGCATTAAGGGCTATAGCAATGGAATTTTCTAGCCCTGTGGAAGACCTGTAGAAATTAACAGAGATGGATTTAGGATATTGATTCAAGCTTATTTAATCAGGCCTCCCTGATTTACACCAGCTAATACACATTCTGGTAAGTCTACAGGAAGCCCAAACCTGGATCCAGTTAGTGGAATTGAAAAATGGTAAATGAAGTACAGAAGTTGCGACCCTGGCTAAATTTTTAAATGACCCTAAGTCTTTGTGACTTTGAAGACTAAGGTACTTTTAACTCAAGCCCTGGTATTTTCAATCACCTCATATGCATGGGAAAGCTGGACAATGAATAAGGAAGTCTGAAGAGTTGATGTCTTTGAATTATGGCATTGGTGAAAATACCAAGGACTGACAGACAAACTAATCTGTCCTGGAAGAAGTGCAGCTGAAATGCTCCTTAGAAGCAAGACTTCATCTCACCTACTTTGGTCATGTTGTCGGAAGGGAGCAGTCCCTGGAGAAGGATATCATACTTGGTAAAGTAGAAGGTCAGCAAAAAAGGGAAAGACCCTCAGTGAGATGGACTGACACAGTGGCTGCAATGATGGGCTCAAGTAGAGCAAGGATTGTGAGGATGACACAGGACCAGACAGTATTTTGTTCTATGTAAAGGGTTGCTGTAAGTTGGAGCTGACTCAACGGCACCTAACAACTAAGGCTGCAGCTCTTCAGTGGTTATAAGCTATACCGAAATCTTATTCTAGAAAGACCGATCCAAAATCAAGGATGCAAACAGGGACTGGACAAAACTATAAGCAAGCTCCAAGAAACTCTTAACCAAAGCTTTCTCTGAACATTCTGGTCTTGAAAAAAAAAAAAAAAAAGGTACCAGGATAGCTTTAAACTGCTTGTTAATAGCCTTAAACCTGAATTAGCCACCCTAGGAGAAACACATGTATTCTGGGAAATGGTTCCAAGAGTTGAACTAGCAAACTTAAGAGAATAATTGGCTTGGACGCTTCAAACCGATAAGATGAGCAGAATCGCCTCATAGCTTTACATTTCAACAACTCCAATCTTCTTCCACCAAACATGGTGATCCCCCAGTTGTTAAACTCACTATGCACACATCCAGCCCTGGGAATTCCTAATTATGACAAGCCGTTGAACCCAAATATACATGGAAGAAATAGAAATGCACTAGGAGTTTTGACTACAAAACATGAAAGTCAACAGAAACCTGTAAGTCATTATGTTGTTGTTATGTGCCATCGAGTCAGACCTGATTCATAGCGACCCCTCCTTGGGTTTCCAAGGCGGCATCACTACAGAAGATTGCCCAACCTTCCTTCCGAGGAGTGGCTGGTGGGTTTGAACTGCCAGCCTTCTGGTTAGCAGTCAAGTGCCTTAGGCACTATGCTACCAGCGCTCCTTAGAAAAGAAAATGATGAGATTGCATCTCATGTACTTTGTACAAGTTATCAGGAGAAATCAGTCCCTGG